TCTCTCTCTCTCTCTCTCTCTCTCTCTCTCTCTCTCTCCCCCCTCTCTCCCCTCCCTCTCTCTCTCCCCCCTCTCTCTCTCCCTCTCCCTCCCTCCAGCCCCTACCCAAAGCAAGAATTGATCCAAACAAGACACTTCAGCTGCAGCCTGAATCCTGAGGCTTGTGCTCCTTTCCCTTGTATCATGAGAGCCTTTTATTTTACATACTCAGTCAGCTACAGGTATTGTGGCTGCCTATCTTAAACCAATAACTGGGCAACTAACAAAAAAAATACCTAAGAAGCCATGTCAATGGAAAACAAACAGTACGGTATTATGTTAATAATAACCATAATTCTCATACAATTCAATGTGTATTTAATAATCAAATTTGTATAGCCGCCCATCTCACAAAAAGCGACTATACTACTTATTCTTAAAAAAGCAGAGTATTTTAGGTTGTAATCTGGTAGTAATCCTAGTGCGCATCAAGGGGGGTACCATGTTAAAAATTGAAATACTTGATTGGTGGGCTCTGATTTATTTTGAGAAAAAGTTTTGTTTCTGGGAGAAAAGGAAGTCTTTGACCAAAGGTTATTCTTAGTGTTCTTTTTCCTAAAGAAGAACTTTTGGTTAAAATATTTTGGCTTCTAGGATTCAGAAGCATAAAAGTATAATATGTAAGCATTCTTTTGAGATTTATAAGCTAAAAATCCCTTTAGTTTTTGTTTAAAGGATAAACCAGTTTGGTGTAGTAGTTAAGATATCAGGCTAGAAAATGAGGAACTCTGATACCTAGTCCCACCTTGGACATCAAGCCAGTCACTTCTCTCAGCCCCAGAAAGGAGGCAGTGGCAAACCACTTCTGACAAACCTTGGCAAGAAAACCACAGGGACATGTCCAGGCACTCTCTGAGAATTGGACACAATTGAGTGGAAGTAAAAATGACCCTTTCATGTTTATAATGCATTCATTGAATGGCAGCATAAAATGTGTTGTCTGTCAGCTGCAGTTGAAGTATCCTTTTCAGGGATAAACTCCTCATATCAGAGAAGGCGATGGCCATGGGCATTCCAGACCCACCCCTCTGCCTCCCTGAATGTGGCACAGAACTAACCATAACTAACTAACTTGAGCTGCACTGGTTTGCCATCCTCAGGAAGACAAATCCATTCAATTGCAGCTCTTCACATCTTCCATATTCACAGGCGAGGCTATGGGATGGAGGAGGGGAGTGCATTGCTTTCCCTCCCCCCTGCACCCCTGCAGTTACATCTGTTGACCTTTAAAGAGTACAATACTTTTGTGGAGGTCTCTGTAGCCCTTAGTGCTGGTAAAAGTGGTCTGTCCTTGTTTGCAAATAGTTGTTTGATTTTGATTCAGACAGACTGAGATATAAAGAAGATGACTAGGTGAACCTACAATTGCGGCCCTTGTTTGCATTTTCTGGGCATCATTTTATTCTATTTTGCGGCCTGAGATTTTCAGGGTGCCAGATACTAGGCTTCACAACCCATAATGACTGGATTTACACAGCAGGATATATAAACACAAGATATACAGAGCTTGATGAGGCTGGGTTTGTGGACTTGGCCAATTGAAGGCCTAGAACGCATTCCAGATCAAGATTTGCCCAAGTTTAGTATTTAAGTTTAAAATTCTGCAATCATAGCAACTCTGTTTTTAATGTGATAAATTTGTAAACTCCAGACAAGAATTAACTTAAAGATTCTGCTAATGCTGTGATATAAGTCTGCAGTTGGTTCTTGAAGTGGAAGTCCTGCCTGCTCCCCACCCCAGAGAGAGCTTTCTTCTAAGGGATTCTCAATAGCTGCATTGAGATTTGTGTCAGCCTAGATGTAGGAAGGGCAGAATAGAGACTCTACGCATCCAATGCTGGTGCTAATCCTAACCAGGGTTAGTGTGTACCGGTATACTTTTATTACATCAGTAGCCCAAACTCTTGTTCCTTAACCACTGAAGATGTGACAAGGAAGACAGAACATCAGAAAATACTTAAGAATAAAAACATAACCAGCGTGCAATCTTACAAGTTTCTTTTATCTAATTCAGAAAGTAGAAGTAGAGAATGTGTACTTCATCTGTTATTTTTAATAGCTGATCTATAACGCTACATATTTAGTATACCGAAAATGTTAAAAACCTACTTTATTCTCTTGATGGGGTGACTTTCAAATTCTGGGTGGAAATAATTTCTGATAGTCTACTGATAGTTCCAGAAGTGTATTGCTTTGAATAATTCAATATTTGTATGAACTTGAATGTATACTTAGAACAATTTGGCAATTGTACAAATGATTTATTCTATCAGGATTTGACTAGCATGTCTATGTGTTCGTGGTTTGGGTTCTTATTTAAAAAAAATGATAGTTAAGTGTTAAGTACAGAGAATCATCCATGTCATTATGAAACTAATTGTTCCCCGCTCTAACTTAAGACAACTAAAATTTAAGGCAAATATCCATTTCTTCTGGATTATTTGGTTATTTTCTTTCTTAATAGAGTAATAACTTTCATGATCTTGATAACTAGTTGGCTGTCTCAGTGATTTTCCAATTCCTTAGCTTCTTCCCTGTATCTTTAAGTACCAGAAGGTAGATACTGAATGTCTATAGAAATTCTTTGGAGGACTGCTTGGCATCCCATGAAGCCTCTTCCAGCTTGAGTGTATGGGACTGTGTCTTTTGGGTACCCTGCATGGCCTTCCCCCTGGCTTTACTCTGTGATTGTGTGTCTGTGCGTGTCAAGTGCCTAAATCGTGTGGGTTGGGGAGGGCAAAGATTGCTGCGTGTCTTAAGCCTTCTCAACAGTGCACCCTTAATGCATAAATTATCTGAGAGGCCCTTAATTAATAAAAGTGGCATTTCCACCAGTGGGGTTTAGCTATTGTAGCTGGGTCTGTCTTTTTTAACTCAATCTCAAATAATAGGGCTCTGGTTATTTTGCAGAATGTCTCTGAAGAATGGACAGCATTGCCATGGCTAACTGCAAGCTACAGTTCACAGTGGACAAACGTTGTAGTTTTTCTATTTACTTTTATAAATTTTTACTTTATATACTTTGTAGTTTTCAATCAGTCCTGTATGATTGTTAATTACGAATGCAGTTTTTAAAAATTATTTAATAGTGTATAGTTTAAAAAACATGTTAGTGTTTATTTTCTTCCATAATGCAACCATTTCTGAAAATGTCAATTTCTCAAAATTTACAGCTGCCCAAGTCCAAAAAGGGGGTAACGAATTGACCTGAGAAAATTAAAGAATTCAGTTAACAGGCGACGTATGCCTTTTAATTCCTATTTTTTCATTTTTTCTATTTTCTATTTCTAATAAGTAGGTAGAATGTGTTGGCCAATAGTAAGTTTATAAATTGCATGGTTCAAGAGAGCCTGTTGCTAATATGCTAGTCAGCTACATGCCCTCAGTTATTCCTTTGAATAGCTGCTTTGACCATGCATAGTTTTTTAACAGTATATAAGAGCATTGAACTGTGAACCAACGACTGTAAATAGTTGTTTTTAAAGCTATTGATTTTGCATGTTTACAGAATTAAGTTTAATTTTTGCTATCATGTGATAAGACTTTAGTAAAAGGGAAAATTGTTTTGACTGTATATTGCTGGTGCTTTTAAGAAGTTCATTTTGTTAAAGGAGAAACATGAGAAATGAGCTGCGTGTGAGACATTTTTACTTGGATTCTGTTCAGTTGATGCTTAACTGGCTTTCTCTTTCCTTTTCAGGGATGCCCGAGTTGTTAAGGACATGGCAACAGGAAAATCAAAAGGATATGGCTTTGTTTCTTTCTTCAATAAATGGGTGAGTTCCTACGTTTTGATTGATGGTTTTACACCCAACACAAAGCTGGTCAAGCATATCCAGCAACTATTTACGAAAGGCATCTTGGTGAAGCTGGTTGCGCAATAATGCAAAATGCTGAATTAGTTAGATATGTTTTCTTTCAGACATCTCGTGGCAGTAAACCACCATGTTACTAATAATCCAGAGCCTGACCACATGATTCACAATTATTAACAGTCCAGATGATTTTTCAGCCGTATAGTTCCAGCATAATAGCTTTCCACTTGCTCTAATTTCACAAGACTATAATATTTCATTGTCAACACCCTAATTCATTCGCCCCCTGAAGTATATGAAAAGCAGATTCTCTTCTGATGTCACTCTAGTACAGACCTGAACAAGATTTCAACTTAGCATTTATGTTCCATTTTGGGAAAGGTATTCTTAGTGAGGCTGAGATGGAGACTGCAGTGAACTCTGCATGTGGAGAACAGATGAGATTTGGGGAATATGTTGGTAAAAGTGTGCACCATTTATAAAGAAAATGTGGGCAGCACATCCTCAGGCAAAATGGATGCTTGCTTACAACATTCTAATGGCTCCTTCATAGGCAATTTCAATGGTTGAACTGAGTTGCCCAAGGAAGAATAATGGGTGAAATAAGCCAGGGAAGGGACCGAGAACCATTTTGCCACTTGCCCTGTATGTACGTATTGGCACGAAAGGCCATTCCCCCACCTGTTTACCCCCGTTCTGACAGGATGGGCTGCTAGCAACGTGGCTTGAGCAAAGCACTCCCTCAAAGCTGCTCTGGGAAGCAACACGCCCTTCCCTTTGCAGCGCCTTGTCATTGCCCAAGTTCTGGTTCTGGCTTTGGCAAGTGGTGCCAAAGAGGAGCCACTTGATTGGAGCAAATCTAAGTCACCTCAGGCAGGCCTAACATAAATGAATATTTGCTCAGCTTTGTGTTGTGCGCCAGTTACTCCTCCCTTTTCTGGATAGGGAGGCTCCACCACTCATGCCCTTGTCACCCCCTATTTGGACTATTGCGATGCGCTCTACATGGGGCTACCCTTGAAGAGTATCCAGAAGCTTCAACAGGCACAAAATGAGGCCCTGCAGGCAGTTTTAGGGGCCCAAAGAAGGGTGCGTGCAACACTCAGCTCTGCGAGCTACACTGGGGGCCAGTTTGCTTCCGGGTCCAATTCAACTCCAGGTGTTGGTTGTGACCTATAAAGCCCTACATGGCCTGGGGCGAGGTTACCTATGAACCGGGTTCCCCCCGTCGCACCTGGGCAGGCAGGGAAGGCATGCGGCAGACCCCATCAGTCGAGGAATTTCAATGGGGAGGGGGGGTGTTCTAGGAAGAGGCCATTCTCTGCCCCTGCCCACACACTCTAGATAGAACCTCCGGCCCCCAGAGCTGAGGACAGCCTCCATCTCCTGACCCCCCACAAAGGGTCTCTGGGTGGGGCACGAAGAACCCCCCAACTGTCGGGCTGCCTGAATTAACTCATGCTAAGTGCCTATCTTGAATGTTTTACCTTTTGGGGATGTTATAATGTTTTTATAATCTTCAATCTTGTTAATTTTAATATAATAATTTTATACATTGCTTATGTATTGATTATATTGAACACACCCAGAGCCCCTCTCTGAGGAAGAGAGCAGTTTGGAAATAGGAAATATAAATCAAGCAAGCAAGCAGACCTCTAGCCCAAGATATCTATGTTGCATGCTACTCCCTTTTCCTTTATTTTTTTAATAGCCTTTAAAATAGCCTTTATTTCAGATTATATAGTTGTCCATCTCACTTGCAAAGATACTGGGCAGCATACAAGATAAAACAGAAAAGATAAATTCATATAATCAAATGTAAATAATTAAAACAATTAACCAGAAATATTAACAGGATAGGACATGTGACTGTGGGGCTGGTTGGGATCCTGAAAGTCCTCACTTTAATCTCTCACCCCCTCTTACAATTTTATATATTTTATATATTTTATGTGCGAGGGTTGGAGGGACGATCCCGATAGAAGAGCAGCAGGGCAACTGCAAGACTTAACTTTGTTTGGTTTTGGAAATAATGATCAATCTTGTCTTCAACTAATACAGTGAAAGTTAAATTGCCTGCAGTTCATAGAATTTCACTTCATAATGCTTGTAAAGTCACATTTCTTTTGAAATAGATACTGCTCTTTTCCGAAAAGAAGCAGTTGTTGTTAAATAATTTTTTATGAGACAATTCTTGAAATATGTGGGAAATCATATAGATCATGGTGAGGCACAAATAATCCTATTGTAAATCAGAGTGATATAATTTGAATCCTTTTGGTAAATTTAAAGATAAGACTTTGATTCTTTAGATGTGGTACTATAATAAATGTTTATGACAGATGAAGAATAAATGTTTATGACAGATGATTTAGTATTCTTTGAAGGGTTTTTTAAACATTTTTTTCCTGCACCGGATAGGATGCAGAAAATGCAATTCAACAAATGGGGGGACAGTGGCTTGGTGGAAGACAAATCAGGACTAATTGGGCAACGCGCAAACCTCCAGCTCCAAAGAGTACATATGAATGTGAGTAGCCTTCAGAACAAAACAAGCATTTCCAGCTTTTCTGAATCCAAAGGGCTTTCCTTCGCTAAAGACAAGGGTATTGCTGGTGCTTGAAAGATTTAATTCTCTAAATTTTCAGAATAGGCTTTGAATTCCTACCAGTCTTAGATTGTGAACTAAATATTGCAGAGATTGAAATTAATGCCACTTGAAGTTAGTTGCAAAAGGAAATCACCCTTGAGTGTCCTTTGGGAGGGCAGAGATTCAACTCAAATGCTTTGGCCACCAAATGAGAAGAGGGCACTCCTCGGAAAAGAAGGCCCTGAGATTGGGGAAGACTGAAGGCAAAAGGAGGAGGAGGAGACGCTTAGGGAGGGGCTGGGGGATCATTTTAGAAAATAGTTTTCCAAATGTCATTACTCCTGATTTCATTATATCCAATGTTTTTAGATATCTTTGTTTTATTGTAAATACATCGTAGACTGGTAAAATCTTTGTGCTTTTTATATAGCAAATGCCAAACAACTCTCCTACGATGATGTCGTAAATCAGTCCAGTCCAAGCAATTGCACTGTGTATTGCGGTGGTGTAACTTCAGGCCTGACAGGTAGGCGATGTCGTCAATTCAGAGCGACCAGGTGAAGAAGAGGCGAGATGCCCGTTTTGAAATGTTTCCAATCTTCTTGTTTGCAGAACAGCTAATGCGCCAGACGTTTTCCCCGTTTGGGCAGATAATGGAAATCCGAGTCTTTCCAGATAAAGGGTACTCATTTGTACGGTATGGAAATATTTCTCTTACACACCCTATTTGTGTTTTCAGAACTTTTATGAAACCTTTTCTAGTTAGTCTCCAACTAATGTGCAAATTCACATTCCTAAGTGATTTGCAGAGAGACAGATGTATATGTTGCTGTGTGTAAAAAAAAAATTTTTTTTAATACATTTTAAAAACACAACTGAGGCTTTGGCAAGTGCTACAAGCACTTTGACCCACATGAAGGAGTTGGCTGAAAGGAACCTCCCCCTGCAGCCCTGGACCACCACATGGCCGCCCAGATGGCTCCTCAAGGCACATCCCGTGGCTCCCTTGTTTGGGCAAAAGAAAAAGCAGATCTCTGTCTTCACCCAGCCCTAGAAACCACGACTCGCCATTTTATTCTTACATCGAATTAAGTCCCTTGGGTCCCCAATGAAGCTTGGTCTGCCACCTCCTTGGTCTAGATTGGTGTTTCACCACCTCAGCAACTTTATAACAGGTGGACATCATCTCCCAAAACTCCACCCAGTATCTTGCGTGTCCACAAGTCTTAAAGTTCCTGAGGTTGAAGAACATCAATCTTGAATGTCTCCATCCTCTATCCTACGCCTGTCTATAAAACTATGAAGAGAAACAGAAAGAAGGGGTAGGAAAGCAAAGCCTGAAACGGTTTGGGGAAGAAAATGGGATATCTTGATACTGAGCTGGATACCACAGAAAGGGAGCAAGTAGAAAGGAAAGTGGAGTGCAAACATTTTCTTCTTTCAGATAAAATGGGTTTCCAAGATTCCATTAATCTAAAGGTCATTAAGTGACACCAGATGCTTGTTAAAATAAGTCTGCTGTATTTTCTATTTAAAGTACTGTATTCGGTATTTTAGAAGTCTCATAGAATAATGGAGGGGAACTTAGAGATCTTCTAGTCCAACCCCCTGCTCAAGCAGGAGACCATATATCATGACAGTCAAATAGCTACTCAGCCTCTTCTTAAAAACCTCCAGTGATGGAGCACCTACACAACTTCTGAGGGCAAGTTGTTCCACTGGTTAATGGTTCTCACTGTCAGGAAATGTCTGTGTTAGAACGAAGTTTAATCATTTCCTATCCAATACTTTTTGTCCTACCCTGAGAGGTTTTGGAGAATGTCAACCCACCTCTTCTCTGTGACAGACCCTTAAGCTTTGGAAGACTGTTGTTGACACCCCCCACCCCCCCAGTCCTCTTTGCTAGATTAGAAATATCTAATTTCTGCACTGTTTGTCATATGATTTAGCCTCCAGCCCGTTAAATACCTTAGTAGTTCTTTTTGCACTCTTTCTAGAACCTCAACACCTGTTTTGCATCATGGTGACCAGAGGTTCAATGTAGTATTAAAGTGTGGTCTTAACACTGTAGTATAAAGTGGTAATGTCGCTTCATGTGATGTCGATGCTATTCCTCTGCCAAGGACTGCATTGGCTTTTTTGGCAGCGGCAGCTGCAACACACTGCTGACTCATATTTGACTCTGGTTGTCCACTATGACTTTTAGATCTCTCTAAAAGTGTTCCTGCTGCTGAGCCAGATACCACCTATTCTACACTTGTACATTTTGTTTTTCTTGCCTAGGTGTAAGACCTTACTTTTCTCCTTACTGAATTGCATTTTATTGGATAGGCCCCAGTCTGCCAACATACTTCCAAAGCTTGGTGTTGTCTGCAAGCTTCAGGTGTTCCCCTTCTGTCCCCTTATCTAAATCATGTATGAAGATGTTGAAGCCTACTGGGCCCAAAACAGAACCTTGAGGTGCCCTACTACTTAATTACTTCCATGTAGAGGTAATTCCATGAAGGACAACACATTGAGTTGGTGGTGGGTAGTATGCCCCCTTTTCCTTTTATATTAACCCAAATGCATTTAAGGAGGGTTTCTTCCTTGGATTTTTGCATTGCTCTAGAGGTGTAGTTATTTCTTACACGTAAGCCCTTAAGCTCTGGCTTTGCCAGTTAACTTGGGGCCCCAATGGTGGAACATCATAGTGGAGGTGATTGATCTATTAACAACAGATTCCCCCCCCTTCCCCATCTGTAATTAGACTATTGTGTTTGTTTGTATTACGTTTTAGTATATGTATATTTATCTTTGTATGATTGTAAGCCGCCCAGAACCCTAACCCTAACCCTGTGGTAAGATGGGCAGCCAATACATTTTACAAACAAACAAACAAACAAACATAAAAAATGTGACTCTGTCACCTCTTTTATTAGGTCTGTTTTGTTGAACAATTTAAATCCTTCTAGCAATATGTTCCCTTCATGTTTTCATCCACCAAGTTTTGATAGTTCAACAATATCGTACCTGTCCTCACGTAGTAGGACTTCAACTTTGCCGTGTTTGTTCTTCATAACTTGAGCGTTAGTTTACAGTTTTCTTTTTTCACACTCCTTGAGGTTTATGCTGGAGAGTAAGTCCTAAACGTTGGTCTCCTTCCCTTTCCAGTTTTAGTCTAAAAGACCTTTGGAAAAGCTGAGCCAGTTGTTTCCCCATAAACCTTTCTTCAGTTTTTGTGAGGCACAGCCCATCCCCCACCAGAAGTCCTCCATGCAGGCATTGTAGGCTGTGGTCTAGGAATCCAGAATCCTCTCAGAGGCATCATCCTTCAAGCCAATGGTTGACTTCTAAAATCCTCCGTTCCCTCATTGGATAGTGACCTTCCATTGGAAGTACAGAGGAAAATACCACCTGTGCTCCCCTCTCTTTGGCCTTTGTGCCTTAGCTGCTCGCCCGCTCCTGATATTGTTCCTGGCTCTTTGTTGCATCATTCATCCCGACATGAAAGAGGAGAAAGGGATAATAATCTGTGGAGTTGATTATTTTGGTAAGCCTCTCTGTCACATCTTTGCTCATGGGAGACCACCTACCTCTCTTGGTAGATTGTCCAGTTTACAAATTGCTGATTCCATTCCTCTTAGTGAGTCTTTTCCATTTGATCTAGACATTATAGCTGCTAAAACGATAGCACTGGCAGGGTCAAATAAAGTAAAGCAAGTCTTTTTGTCACGATGCTATGTGGCTGAGAATTCTTCAGACGTACTTTCTGCGTGTGTCACTTAAGATGTCACTTGACTTCCAGCGCAGGGCCAGAGCAGAGCATGTGGCTTTAGATTCTGTCTTCCAACTTGTTATCAAAACTGACTTTCCCAACATCGTCCTCTTCCGTGTGGACACGTGCATATTCCTATTAATGAAGAATTGTTGCATCGTCTTTTATTTGCTGCCTCATAAATGAGGGTGATTATGTTAATTTACTCCCTTGTATGCGCTTTACAGGTTTAATTCTCATGAAAGTGCTGCACATGCCATTGTTTCAGTCAATGGCACCACAATAGAAGGACATGTGGTGAAATGCTATTGGGGTAAAGAGACACCAGACATGGTCAACCCAATTCAACAGGTAAGAGTTACCTGTCCTGCTGAAAAGCATTCCCAAAATTAATAACGTAGATATTTCCTCAAGATGGATCCCAAATCCCTTTTCTTTGCTATTCATTTATAGTCTTGTGATCATAGTTGAAGTGGGTAGAAATTGGCTATGATACGTGTCATAGTGAAGAACTTGTACGAGTTCCAACATGAAGTAAACCAGTTTCCCTGTACTTTGTTAGACATAAATTTGCAAAGCGATGTTGCCTGTGTTACATGCTAACTTTGGACCATCATTAACGTTTTCAGCAGAATCAAGTGGGCTATCCACCCCCTTATGGGCAGTGGGGCCAGTGGTATGGAAACGCCCAGCAGATTGGCCAGTATATGCCTAATGGCTGGCAAGTGCCTGCGTATGGAATGTATGGGCAGGCATGGAACCAGGGATTCAGGTAAGGGACGGAGTTGGCTGAGGCTTGCTGACAGTAACGAAAGTGAAAGTACACATAGTTAGAGCACTTTCATTTTTAATGTGTTCATAGATTACCGTTATGTGCTTGTTTGAAAGACAGCATTTGTGTCTTCACCAGTTTGATTATTTTTATATGTTTGTAGGTTTGCAAAAAAGGGATTAAAATACTAATTAAACCATCATTAAAAGAAGCATACTACAAAAAGTAGACTGTCCTTCCAAAATAGTAAAATGAATCAGTGTTATACTTGGAGCGCCAAATAGTAATAAATTTTATTCACCAAAAGGTTGATTAAATAAACAACTCTTAGAAGCTAGCAGCAGTGGAACATTTGATGAACTGGGTTTCTTCAAACATGCCCAGTTCATAGTTACTGTAGTCTGAAAATATGAAAGGGTTCCTTAAGGCTCAGTCAGGTTGATAGAATGCGGGGATCCCAGGCTTCCTGTGTGATGGAGAATATGCCAGAAATACTCAACGTGATTGCTTGCTGCTGTCTACCTATTACAATGCAAGCTTTATCTAACCTCATTTCCTCTTCCATCCAGTCAGACACAGCCATCTGCAGCGTGGATGGGTGCAAATTATGGTGTGCCACCCCCTCCACCGCCCCCCCCACCACCACCCCAGGGGCAAAATGGAAGTGTTCTAACTAGTCAAACTGGATATCGGATGGCAGGTTTTGAAACACAGTGAGAGACAGAAGGACTCTGGAATAGAACACCTGTGGCTTTGAGGCTGTATGGAGCATTGTAAAATCCTTTGTTTACTTAAAAAAAAAAAAATCTATCCAATCAAGTCAGTGCAAAAGTCAAACAGTATTTATTTTTAATCATGAAACTTCGTTGTTGTCCACGCTTTTTTTTTAAAAGACACACAGGAAATACTAGATGCTGGATATCTGCCAACCTTTGCCTTCTTTTCCTCTTTTGAGATGTGTTTCTTAAGATCCATGTTTGAAACACAACTAATGCAGGGATTTCTGCCACTTTTAGTATAGCGGCAGGAAATTGCACAATATCAAACATTTTTTTTCCACTGAAGTAGTATGCAGTCTAGTTTGCATTCCTAATATGACTTAAATGTACATGAAAGAAGTTATACGAGAGAGAAAAGACACGCCAAAACTGTGTGAATTCTGGGGGTTTATTGAAATCTTCAGTTCGTGCAAAGAGAGCCTGATGTATAAAGTGTCCATCTCCTTGCTTTTGTTATACTGGGATTTCAAATATAACTTATTCGTTTACATTATTTTGTATCTAAACATTTTTCGGAAAGTGGTTTTTGCCTTACTGTCACTCTTCAATGATGAGGTAGGAGTCAGGCCTTTAAGGGCAAGTGCCTCGTGCTCCGAGAATCCAGCTCTGGGCTCTGGTCGATGCCAGGAGGGCCCCGGGGGGGGCGGGATGCTCCTGTTCATCGACTCGGAGTCCTCCTTCGCCCAGTTCAGATCTTCTTAAAATGTGACACAATCTTAGGAGCCAGCTTTTTAAAGCCTGTCCGTTTTTACATTTACATGTATCCTTTATCATGTCAACTATTTTAGCAAATTAATATTTTCACAAAAGTCGCTCCGCTTTTGTATGTCTCCTTTGAAAGAGTAAGAGACAGAGAGAGCTCTACAGGACTTATGGCTATAATTTAAGCTTTGACTTTTGCATGTGAATATCTAATACACTGTTAGACTTTGAATAAACAGTCATGCTCTCATTTTTCAGAGACATAGAGAATACATTGGTCTTAGCAGCTTTTTACTCACGTGGAGCAAGGCTGACTTGATTTAGCAGGGACAGATAGAGCTATTAAATTCTAGAGCATTGTGTGTGTCAAGCCAGGAGAAAAAGGAGTGCTCCAACTGAAGCCTGAAGGACCAACTGGATAAAACATTTTTGAATTGTTCAGCGGCCAAATAAATAATAATAATAATAATAGCATTATCCTACCTCCTTGGCTAGCTTTCAGAAGATGCAGAAAGAACCCTACCCTGGACGTAGTGATTATATATCCCAGTTAACATCTGGGCACACGGAGGTGTTTGATTTCCGTTCTGCATTGGTTGTATGGAAAAGTTGCTGATATGCACAAGACAGTGACCAGCCACCCCCATTTGATGGAACAAAAGGGGCCAGAACCAAAGTAGAGGGCTGGCTGCTAGGAAAATAGATTGTTGTCTTGTAGACAGATCTTGGCCCTAACGTTTTATAAATAAAGCATCTTCCAAAAGATGCCATTGAACTTGTACATTGATTTCACTCATGTCTGCTTCCTTTAAAATTTGTATAAACCTGTCATCTTTCTGCTTACTATCTCTGCCTGCACAATTCTTTTAAAAGAGAAATGTGAATAGGTCTGAAGTGAGCCTGGGGAGTTTTCTCTGTATATATTTTCAATAGCAAAATGGAGTACAGATTTCTTGTACAGAAGCCAACTAAGGTCCCACAGCCAGCAAACCAAGAAAGCTTTTGGCATCTTGACATTTGTTATTGTCCCTGGAGTTGACAGTAACTCAAGCTTTAATGCATTTCAACATGTAAATATTTGAAAGGGGAAGGCAAAAAAAAGAAGTTCAGTGTATTTTTAAAAAAGTATTGCCGCTTCAGTCCGACAATGGTATGAAAGCAGTGGGTTGTCCTGGGGGCCTCCTCGGAGGAGGCTGGTCTTGTGTGCCCTTTTTCAGAGCCACTGTTGGGGTCTCCCTTGTTGCCCCAACCAGGCTGTGGGACCTGAAGGCAAAAGGCTGGGACCGCCTCTTCTCACTGCTGCCGCCCTTCCCCAGCTGCTCATCCAGGCATCAGCTTTGTTGATCGACGAGGGGGCGGGGGTGTTGGGTGTTTGTTTTCACGTCTGTATGGACTTTGGCCGCTTCCTTTAAGCGAGCGTGTTTTGATACTTATGTACAGAAGTTGAAGAACTTCCCTCCAGAAGCCCTGGCTTTGCAAAAGCCCTGAAGATCTTAATAAAAGATGTGAGCTCCCCTTCAGCCTTGTATATGCGGAATGCTTTCGGTGTTGGGCGATTCCAAACTTGCCTCGGGGGAAGAGGGGGGCGGCGGCGGCGGAACGGCTCCCCCCAGCCCCGGGACGCCGCTCCGAGGCCAGAGACGCCGGCGGGGGCGGCGCACAACGGAGAAACCCCCGACGGCTCCCCTGGACGTAGAGCGCCACGTGCCTCTTCCGGACGAGACGGGCCCGGACTCCGTCTCCCGTGGTGCTTCGCGCGGCCCGGCCCGGCCAATGAGAGCCTTCGTTACAGAAGGATTTCGCGAGCCGTTTGTAAGAAGCCATCGTGGACGCCGATCGCCGCCTTTCCTCGCCGGCCGCCGGGCCGGGACGTGGGGAGGGAGGGCCGCCAGGTAAAGGCGACGCAGAGGGGATCCGCGGGGCGGAGGGGGGGGGTCGTGAGGGCAGGAAATGACGACGCGCGGCCTGGCCGTCCTGGGTTGCCGGGGGAGGCGAGCGGCGGTAGCGCGTGACGTCAGAAGCGGTCGGGCAGCGCGGAGCAGCTTCCGGGTGTTTGGACTCCACCTCCCAGAATTCCCAGCAGGGGCGATGCTGCCTGGGCCGTTCTGGGAGTTGAAGTCCGTCCATTTTATTATAACAGCCCACTTTGCGATCAGCCAGGAACGGGCGCCCGGGCCGGACCCTCCTCGCTCGGCCTGGAGAGGCTTCCCGGAGGTGTTGGCCGCCTCCCCGTCGCCTGGGCCCCCAAGCCGGGAAACTCCCCCTTCCAGAGCCCCCTTCGGTGGCCGCGCTGGCTGCGGGGGAGGAAGTCCGAGGCGAGGCAGGCGTCTCCCCGCGGGCGGCCTTTGGCAGCGCATGAAAAGCGCGGGGGCTCCGGAGGTCCTCTAGTCCGCCCCTCTCTCCGGGCAGTCCAAGGGGAGGAGGGAGCGGACTCCCAGGCCCTTCCGGCTCCTCCGCTCCGTGTTCCCCTCCGGAGCCCCTCCGTCGCCTCCCGATCCCTGGATTTCCCTCCGCCCCCCCTTAGGCGGCCCTCCCGTGGCGCTTCCCTGCCTTCCGGAGCCCTCCGTTCCCCCCCCCCGTCCCCAGGGCCCCCCCCCTTGGGCGGGGGGCCCGACCCCCCGGGCGCCCTGCCGCGGGCACCCGGGGGCCCCCCCCCCCCCCCCCCGCGACCCCCTCCGGCACCTCTTCGAACCCCCAACTCCCTGCCGGGGAGGCTGCGGCCCAGGGCTTCGGAGGCCCCCAAGGAATCCCTCCTCCGCTCCAGGAGTCAAGGCCCTTCATTCTGCCCCTAAAATCGCCCTGCAGAGGCTGAAGGGGCCCATCCTGCCCACTCCAGCTGCACGGTGCCATTGCTGCTGCTGCACCCACAGCTCCCCCCTTGCAGCTCCCTGTGCATGGGGATCACGCCCGCACCCCCCCCCCCCCCCACACACACACCCCGCCAGCCACACTAGCTGGCCCTGGCCTTGCACCCCCACTGGATCCTCCCTCCCCAACCGCTGAGCGTTTGGGCCGAACCCTCTTCAGGGCTGCTCCCAAGGAGAAGAGGAGGCTTCCTCGCCCCCACCTCCTCCCAGGGCCAGGGAGGGGGTCCTGCTGGGGTGGGGCAGGGAGAGCCGAGGGACACCTGCCTGGGGCTTCATTGTGACACCACCAGAATCCTGAGGAGGATCCATGGCATTCCGCCCTTCCCCCTGCCCTGCTCAGAGCGGCTGTCCACGGACCCTCGGCTCAGGGCTGGACCCCTTGGTGATCCACACCGTCTCCTGGCAATGGTGGGCCATCGGATGGTGGGGAAGGCCGGGGGGGGGGGGGGGTGTTTCCAGCCTCTCTTTGTTGCTTTAGGCCTTGGGTTTCTTTTCCTGAGGCTCCTCTGGGGAACAGTTGTGAAGACGTGTCCTCCTCCATTATAGGAGATGGCACACACACCCTGTCTTGGAACTCCAAGATCCCTCTCACAATGACTTGCTTTAAGCCAAGTTTCACCTCATCTGCACCTATACAGTTGGCTTTGCTTGCCTTAGTTTTATCGTGTGTTGAATTTCATTTTGCTAGATAGGGCCCAGTGTTCAAGTCTGTCCAGATCTTTTGGGATCTTGAATGGGACTTCTGGACTGTTGGCTGTTCCTGCCAGCTTAGTGTCGTCTGCAGATCCGCTGAGTTGCCCTTCGAGTCCCTCAGTCAGATGGTTTGGGAAGGGGGTGAACAGGATTGTCCTAAAACAGAACCTGGGGGGGGGGGGGTAGTTCCATTAGGTTCCTTTAAGGGCTGCTTGTTGAGTACGATTTGTCAGCCAGTTACAAACCCACCTGGTGGTAGGGCTGTTTATCCCACATTTTTCTAGCTTGCCAAGAAGTAAGTTGTGGTCTACTTTACCCAAATGCTTTACTGATATCTAAGTAGACAACATCCACAGCGTTTCGCTGACCCACTGATTTCTGCAGTCCATTTCTGGTGCTTTTCTTCCTCAGGCAAGAACTGGAGATGGCAAATATTCCCAGGAAAACCGTTTAAGTCCATCCCAGAAGGGTCCCCCAAGGACTTGGGCAGGCTTTCCTTTCCCACTGACCCCACCTTTCCCACTCCTCCTTGGCCCAGGTTCCCTGAAGGATGGACTCCGGCTCCCCCAGGAGCAAAGTCCCGGCTTTCTTATCCGACCTGGGGAAAGCGACCTTGAGAGGCATCAGGAAATGCCCCCGATGTGGCACCTACAACGGCACGCGTGGGCTGAGCTGCAAAAACAAGACCTGTGGCACCGTCTTCCGCTACGGCTCACGGAAGCCGGCTGGCATTGACGCCGTCAAGATCATCACCGGCTCAGACCTCCAGGTCTATTCGGTGCGGCAGAGGGACCGGGGCCCCGAGTATCGGTGCTTCGTGGAGCTGGGCGTCTCGGAGACCACCATCCAGACTGTGGATGGGACCCTCCTCACCCAGCTCAGCTCTGGGCGCTGCTACCTCCCAGCGTGCCTGAAGGCAGCGTCCCAGGGGGTGGCGGAGAACCAGTGCCAGCACCTGAAGCTTGCCGTGGGCTGCCAGGCAGAGGCCACCCCCCTGACCCTGAAGAGCTCCGTCCTGAACGCCATGCAGGCCTCGCCCCAGACCAAGCAGGCCCTCTGGGAGCTGGCCACCCAGCCCACGGGGCCCCTGGTCCAAAGGGTCACCAAGAACGTGCTGGTGGTCAAGGGCAAGGCCGGCCCCAAGCACGGCTTGGGCTACCTCCACATCACCTTTGCCCCCAGGTCTGGCCACAAGGGCCCTGCGGGGCCCCACTTCTTCTGCCCCTGCCAGTCCTTGAGGGCCAGCAAGGCCGCCCAGGAGGGCAGCCACAAGTGCATCCATTTCTTCGCCTGCCTCTGTGCCTTTGCCAGCGACGAGGCTTTAGCCGAGGAGTTTGGGGACTTCCTCAGCAGCGAGCCTGGCGGTAGGTGTGCCCGGGGGGCTGGGCGGCCCCTGGGTGGGGAGGGGACCCTCTGGCATGGACCAACGGGCCACAGAAGCGCCCCCAGGCAGGCCTGGCTTTGGGGGGCAGCTGGGTGGGGAGTTGCCGGCCCGCAGGGGCTCCCTGGCTCTTCCCAGAAATGGAGCAGCCGCTTTTCTGCCCCAACTGCAGGGCTGACACCCCCGGCAAGGGCTCCGCTTGCTTGCCAGCCGGCATCCCCTCTGCCCTCGGGAAACCTGGTGGCCTCCAAAGCGAAGCGCAAGAAGAAGGACGGAGGGGCGGGTGAGGAGCTCCAGCGCCGGCTGCTTTCCTGGGTGGATATGCGGGCTCCATGCTCCAGAGAGGCCAGGGAAGCCAGGCCAGGCTCTGCCTGGTTCTGATGGTGTCCCATTTGGCCTTCCAGGCATGCCAGCCAGCAGCACCCCCTTGTCCCAGGATCTGGCAAGCAGCTCCCTGCAGAAGAACAGCCTGAAGAAGGCGGCCGTTG